TCAATGAGTCCCGGAGAAGCTTGATTGGAATGCAACAATGCGAAAAGAGAGGAAATCACTTCATGACAATCAGACTTGGGAACTCGTGGAGTTGCCCAATGGTATACAAGCTATATATTGCAAATGGGTCTACATGGTGAAGTATGGATCCACTAATGCAGTTAAGAAAATCTTCAATGCAATATTGGTGGCCACGTGCTTTTAACAACGGAAGGGCATCGACTACACTGAGATTTTTTCACTAGTTGCTAAGTTTTCAACTATATGTTTGTTGTGTGCACTTGTCACATTATTTGGTTTATTCCTCGACCAGATGGATGTTGTCACAACCTTTTTACATACAGCGTTGGACGAAGTGATTTACATTCGACAACCGGAGGGTTTTTAAGAGGGGAAATGAATGTTTGGTTTGTCGGTTGTTTAAATCCTTGGATGGACTTAAGCAAAGTGTCCGACAATGAAATAAAAGTTTTGATGAGTTCATGCATTCGCAGGGCTTCATACGAAGTGCATATGACTCTTGTGTGTACATGAAGCGTGTTAGCAACACACTTTTGTAGTTTTGGCTTGATGTTACTCGTGTTGTATGTAGATGATATGCTTATTGCCGCTAAGGATAGGTCTGAGATTATTAAACTCAAAGTTTAGCTCAGTTCTGAGTTTAGTATAAAAACTTAGATCTTGCTAAGCGTATACTAGGAATGGAGATCCACAGGGACGAGTCATCAAGCAAACTTTGGTTGACACATACACGGTATGCAGAGAAAGTACTTGTTAGGTTTAACATGTCAAACGCTAAAGCTGTAAGTACTCCATTAGCTGCACACTTTAAGCTTTCGACAGCTTTATGTCCAACTGATGCATTTGCTAAAAGATTGATGTCTTCTATTCCTTATGAAATTGCAGTTTGCAACATTATGTATCTTATGGTACGCACTAGACCTGATATAGCATATGCAGTTGGGAAAGTGAGTAGCTACATGTCAAATCCTAGACGAGAGCATTGGGAAGCTGTGGAGTGGATTATGAGGTATATCAAGAGTTCTCTTGATACAAGATTATTGTTTGATGTTCGATCAAACAATGCAAGTTCAAACTTGTTCAATCAAACTTCCATCTCTCCAACTCTCTCTCTCTACTTTCTCACTCTCCAATGCGAAAATTTTATCTTCCATGGCTTGCTGCTTGGTGTGCCCATCTACTATCGCTTTTCTCAACTCTTTAATCTCCGCCATGATTGCATTGAGAACCTCACCCATATCAATTGATGTCCCCATGCTTTCTCACACTCCCTCTAATACAAAGTGAGTATAATCACTATGTGACCTCTTAACAAGGGAGTCACAAAAGGTGCAGGTGATTCTATCACAGCTCTATAGTACTGCTCTCCATAAATCCTCACAAGAAAATCTCTCCATATCCTCTTCTGTCTATATACTGTTCTAATCTCTACATAAGTGTTGAATCGAACCGGGACATGTGGTTCGCAATTCAAATCCATGAAACATTCAGTATAGAATGAATATAGTACAATCCCAAGTCTATCCATAAGTAACTATTGGAAGAATCAGTGGCACTCTTGACTCCATCACTCTAGTCATAAAATCTGCACCCCAACAAGCCACAAGGTACATCCAAAAATGATGTTTCTCCATGCAACGAAGGTGAATATCAAATATGTTAGGAATTGGCCAATGCGGTACAGGATTCTTGACAATCCCGTCCATATCTGCAAAACCAGAATTTCCCCCTTCCACCACTCTCTACATGCAGATGAATGAACTCTTCCAGCCTCTATACACTCTTAAGACTACAACCATCATCATTCACTTGTTATTTCATGAGGGGTAATCCACACTCAAGGAAAGAGCAAGGTCGCTCTGATGCCATTGTAACACTAGGGTTTAGAGAGAAGCTCACTCTAAGATAGAAACGTAAACTCTGAAGATGAGAGATACCAACAATGGTTCTCCTCTCCCTTATATAGCTTTCACCAACAAGTACAAGGGGATAAGATCTAATCCTCACCATCCATCCTTCTCCTAGTGGATGAATGACGTGGCGGATAACCCTAATAAGCACACGGATCGCTGACGTGGCGCACCCAACTAACAAACTCAATCCTTACGTACAAGCACACGGATTGCTGACGTGGCACTGTCAACTAACACATCCACTGTGTACCTACCAAGTGCGCGGATCGCTGACGTGGCAGCTATGACTAGTGCACACTAAAGTATCTACATCAATATTTAGAGTAAACTCTACTAAAGATGGTTACAATAGTGCACTTAAGCTCATCAAAATTGATGGTAAGCTCAACCCTGCCGACGCATTGACCAAAGTAATTCCTTTGGAGATTTTTCCCAAGCATTGTGCAAAGTTGCAAATTTTGCATAGGGATAGTTAGTGTGGTAACTTTTGTACATGTTTTCTCCATCCGTTTTTTGCCGGCTACGGCTTAGTTCTAGTTAACTCTCAGCTATAGAGCAAAAGCGTGATTTAGCTTTACTTTCTAGAACTTCCCGCAGAGATACATGTGGATTACATTAGTTACCTCTCCAAGACTTGAGTCATAGGAGAGTTTGTTAGGTTAACTTTATGTTGGATTAACTCTTGTTAGTGGTAACCATTTATATGAAGTTAACTGTAGGTAGATTAGTTTAGGTATTATGTGCACGTTATCTCTTCTTGTATAGAAGAGAGAAGGTGACTCTCTCTGTGTGCAGTTCATGATAGCATCGAGAGAGTGAACATGTTGGAGTAGCGCTTGGCTATGAAGGCCGTGAAATCATCCGTGCTTTAGTGAAGTTCAGCTCTTGCCCGTGGACGTAGTTTGTGAAAGGTGAAACACATTATTTTGGTGTTGTGATTGTCGTGCGCGCTCATCGATCTGGATGTTTAGGCCTTTCAGTAATGTTGCAATTTCTAAAATTGATATCAAGTCATTTTGGCAATAACTAAATTGATTAAGATTACGTTTACTATTATAAAAGATGATATTTCACATGAAAGAAGCTAAAATCAATAGATGTGATTTTGAATTGCTCACAATATTGAACAATTTTGAATTTATGATCCTTGAGATGTATACAATATGAATTAGGTTGCATTATATTTTGTGCATATTATCAAATCATGTAATCTTAATGCCAGACAAGAACTTAACAACAATCAAAGGAAAGAAAAAATCCAAGTATTTGATTTTTTCTTATTTTGTGCATCAATGTTGTGAATGTTCACAAAGTTTTTGCACATTGATCAAGAAATCAAAAGCACTTGTATGTATAAAAAACCTGCATGTTTTAGTTAAGTAAAAGCTTGAATGCACATAAAAATAGGTTGAAAGTGGTTGAATAAAATGTTTTTTCTAGAGGTGAAAAACCAAACAAGGCATTTGGTTTTTTGCTATAACAATGCTCCCAAACACTAATTTTTTTTTGAATGCAACAATGATAGTATTGTCTTTCTTTCAAATTGCACAAGTTGGCAACAGTAATACAATATGATCATGATTGCAATTTTAAAAGAAGAGGTTAAAATAGTTGTGTTTCAAGGATGTTTATGTCTTCTATAAACTTGATGAGGAGACAAAACCTCAAATAAAAACTCAAAGACAGATTACAACAAAGTGCTGCTGGAGTTGCATACAAAAATCCAACTTAGTTGGATTTTCTGCGAAGAGTTATGTCAAAGAAGCTTGGCAATCAGTGACACCAAGCTCAATGAAAAATACATTTGTGAAGTATAATATAATGATATTAAAAGTTGATCAAAGAATTATGTACTAGATAGAAGTTTGAGTGTATGAAGTTGCACAAGCTATTGCAGTTAAAAAATTCTTTCTATTGGCCAAGAAGAGCTTGAAGCATTTGTTTATGTAAAAGATGAAATCATTGAATTATTTAAGTATTTTGAATCATTTTATAACCATATTGTTGATATACAGACCAATTGATACTCTATTGGTCTGTTTGTGAAGAATCTAAGGAAAAATTTGATGATTTTAGAAAGTTGTTTGAATAGTTTTAAAATAAGGTTTGACTATCATAGGGAAAGCAAAAGCCAATGCTCTTCAAGAACTTGTGCCAAATGACAAACCATCACATGTTGAACTAAACAAATGTGAAATATTTTTTTTGAAAATTAATGATCAATTGAACGTCTACTTGATTAACCGAGAGCTAATGTAAAAGTGACGTTACAAATCGGAGTGCTTGTCAAGGATATATATATGCTATGCAAGGTAAATTACATAAAACAAGTGGTGCGCCTAAATAGATAATGGCATAAATAGAATTGATCACTGATGTTTAGGTTTACACGGATGTAAAAGTACACACGGATGCGTCCTTGTTTTTTGTACTGTACATTGCACATTGAATTAGGTTCGCTGTTATGAGTGGAGGAGGAAGTACATGGCGTGCTGTGTGTGCAACCTCGTTGTTGTCGAGATGGTTGAATTGATTATTTGCTAGCGAGAGTCTTCCCTATTTTAAACTTCTTCTGAGGGAAGATCCAGAATAATCTAGATACGATGGATTAAGCTTACTCACAGGGCACTTCGTGGTGGTCACCAGCCAAAGATTCGAAACCGTGGGCCACTCCGACCGGGTAACCGGCAGCAGATTAGTCGGATGGAATCCTCGCGGCGGGCAGGTCGGTTCCGCGAGCTAAACCGCAAAGTGCATCATTTCACTGCGCTCGTCACGTACAGCACGGAACGTGACGGCAGAACGCTGCGTTCCGTAAAGAGCTCGAAATCATCGAACATGAGTGAGCCCTCTTCACGGACGGAAAGCCGAGGACCGGAGTAGGGTTAGACGACCGGCGAGCATTTCTCCGCAAGCGGACACGTGCCGGGGCGAAGGGGAGCAGATACCAGGCGAGAGCCGGAGTACGTACCAGTGGGCGAAACCTAGCGTACGCAGTGCCAGTGGGAGCAGGACGGGGAGACGAGGCCGAGGAAAGAAAGAAAGCTGCTGCTGCTGGCTCGCCCGCCCAGATGTGAGCTGTATGTGTGTCGTGGTGTTGGGGTTGCGTTGAGAGGTACAGAGTTCGAAGAACTCGGTTCCTTGCTGGGAACCTCGCAATCTGGTCGACGCGGCCCGGCGACGGAAGGGTGCAGCACGGGATCTCGACGAGGAGGCGCCAGAGAGCAAGGCCAGGCCAGGGAGAGGGAAGGGGAGGGGAAGGGGAAGGGGACGGGAACACAAGGGCAGAGGAAGCCGGGACGGTGTGGTCGTGTCACCCAAGGCGAGGAGAAGGCGAAGCCGAAGGCGAGAGAGGGAAAGAGAGAGAGAGAGGAGAGGGAGGGAAAGAAAGGCTCTGGCGGAGGAGGAAGAAGAGGAAAGGAGATTCGGCTGCATTTCGGCGGGGGCGAATTCGAGCAGCGAGGATAGCTAGGGGTTGCGGAGGAGCGAATGCACGAGGGAGCGGGGGTTGCTGCTGGACTCTGGTGCTGGTGCTGGTGGTGCTGCAGCGAGGCCTTCTCTGCTGGACGGGAGCGGTCGGATAATCTCGGCGCGGAGCGGGGAGCTAGGTTTTAAGGGGAGGAGTATCGCAGAGCTTCGATCTCGAGGTGCAGATTTTCACTGCTCTGCTTCGAGCCGCTTATGGGGTATGCTACGCCGGTTGCTTGATGTCCAGAAGGTAGGATGTCGGGACGCATGGAACTACACAGCTTGCTTCGTCCATGTGCGCCACCTTCAGTCTATTCCCAGCTCTCTCAGTGGGACTTCCAGGGAGGCTCACAATAGCTTTCTCAGCCTGTCCAAAGTCGTTGAACGAGTGCCGCTAAGCTCACGAAATACAGCAGCGTACGTGGCATATCCTTCTGCCAATCTGGCTCAAAAAATAGGAAAGTCGATTCGGCGGCCAGGTGTGATGTCCAAGGCCCGAGTTTATGCAGATGTTAACGTGCAGCGGCCCAAGGAATATTGGGACTACGAAGCTCTGATAGTTCAATGGGGGTATGTGCTTACCCGTCTCCTCTTCCCGTCGAGCGATTTTGTTTGTTTGTTTGCGTAGGGGGCGGCGAGTGCCTGTTTTTCTCGTATCGAAGAAGTCACTGATGGCGATTACTTGAGATCACTGCCCGAACTGTGATTTCATCTAAAATTAACAACCCTACACTCCGAAATGATGTTGTTTTGTCACGGATCTGGGTGATACCATGCCTGCAGTGATCAGGAAGATTACGAAGTGGTCCGTAAGGTTGGACGCGGCAAGTACAGTGAAGTTTTTGAAGGCATCAATTCCGAAAACAATGAGCGCTGCATCATCAAGATTTTGAAGCCTGTAAAAAAGAAGAAGGTAGGAGCTGGGAGGCCATCTTTGTCTGCATCTTTTTAGCTTTGTCTGCACCTTTCCCTCACTCTGCGGGGATCGCAGATGGTCTTGTGCCAGTGTCAGTGGGCTGTAGTTACGGGTAAATTACCTGTTTATGCTATCACCTGTAATCTTAGGGTCAGTCGTTACGACAATTCTATTTTGACCTCAGTACAATTGCTAGCAAGTAGAGGTGTCTTGAGTATTCGAATCTAATATTGTAGTATAAGGGTGTACTGAGCTCATTCATTGACTTTCTCAGAGCATTGAACTGGGTTCAGTATTCACTGCAGTTCAACCTTTTAACCCCATACTTCACGAATTCATATCCTTCCGGGGAATTCGGTAGGTCTTGGTTTCTGGATTTGTTGTTGATTGTGGAAAAAGTAGAGCAGAAACTAGCTTGAGCGGAACGGGAGAATAAATTTAGCAATCCATTTCATATAGTTTTGACCTTTTTTCTTATGCGGATGGTCGCGGTTGCAAAGAGACCCGTACCTTTGAGCAGTCATATCTTTCAGTCAAATCATGTTCGGGTGGAACATCTTAACGACTACATGTTATCGTTATGTGAAATCAGTGAAATACCTTGATTAAGTCTGCGTTTGTGCATCAGCCTGTTTTGAGGGATCTGAAGATTCCGGAGTTTAGTGTGGCATGAAGAATGAGCGTAGTCTCCTGGTTTACTTCTACTGGAGGTTTTGGAAGAGATAATTTCAAGACCCTCTAGAATGTACAAAAATCATAAGAAGCATTTTAGCATGAGATCATGGAAAATTCATGACGGTTAGTAGGAATCCAGGCGAATGTCATTTTACGACAATGAAAAATGTTAGACGAGCGTTGCGAACATTCACGTTAAGAGCGATATCTCAGCGTTTCCACCGGTACTGATACTGGTTCAAATGTTTCGTAGAGGGACACCAGTCAATGTTAGAAGGTTGAGGTAAAATGCATGGGTATAAGCCTTAGAACGTGGAGGCTGACGTAATGTGTCGAAATCAGTCCGTATACACCCGAAACAAGGAGGAGGATGAACTAGTAAATATATGAAAATACAGAAAAACGCATGTATTTTTTTATCATTGTTTAATTGGTTTAGGGCTCTCTACTTCCGTATCGCTCGCTCGCAGTTACTGTTGCCACCACGTTGTATTTCCACTATTGTTTTCCATTGTTGAACGAAACGTAAACATTCGAAATTATCAAAAGGGTTTGAGCTACTAAGTAGGCCTTATCTGCGGATGTGGCAGACGAATTCTATTTTCCACTTTTCAAAGTTTGCTTATGCGTATCGTAATCTGTTTCTACACCCCCTTGTTCGCCTTGAGTTTTCAACTAGAGATGTTCTTGGAGTCTCCTCACCCTCACCCGTTCCCCGTTTGGAATTCCTTCAAATTTTTTTTTCTTTCTGTTTTTAACATTCACCACAAGGCTTAGTAGCAAAATTCGTAGCTTGAGTTTCTTGGTCTGATCTCAGTATAAAGGGATAGTACTTGACTTCAAACATTTCTATATCACTCACTTCCACCTTCACTCGAGATTTAAGAATTCATAATTTGCCGATAGATGAACATCTCTGCGCTCGGAATTGCACATTTACTCTTGATCACATTGTCATTTTCCAGATAAAGCGAGAAATTAAGATTCTTCAAAATCTTTGTGGAGGACCAAACATTGTGAAGCTTCTGGATATAGTTCGCGATCAGCAGTCTAAAACTCCCAGCCTGGTATTTGAGTACGTGAACAATACAGACTTCAAAGTCCTGTATCCCACTTTGACGGATTATGACATTCGTTATTATATTCTGGAGCTTCTCAAGGTAATGTATTCAAGTACAGCAGTATCAGTTTGCACGCTCTGATTTCATATGCCCGAGCAGTCTGGACTTCTAAGAGTCACGAGCTAATGTACATCTATACGTTATGGTCTGCAGGCGCTTGATTACTGCCATTCCCAAGGAATTATGCACAGAGACGTCAAGCCTCACAACGTGATGATTGACCATGAGCAGCGGAAGCTTCGACTTATTGACTGGGGTCTTGCTGAATTTTATCATCCTAGCAAAGAGTACAATGTCCGAGTAGCATCAAGGTAAGATGGCACCTGCATCTGAGTGTTTGGCTTCCCTTGCACTGACTTACACTCCTTTTGATGCTTACATGGATGGTGAACATTGTTAAATGTTGGAGATATTATGACACGTTTGGATGGGATCTGCAGTTTTCAACCTTTTTTAGGACCAGCAGTTCATCTTACATAAAAGTTTGAGGTTGAGAAGAAAGTGCAAGTATTTGAATTTCATCAAGTTCACAATTATTATTTTTAACATGCTACAAACTTGAGGTGACAATGGGTGGCACGTACGGATGAGGAAGTGAAATTTCCTTGTGATAATAAAGCACCCATGTGCTGGACATGTCACGAGGAGCCTTATTTTATCTACCGCAAATGACCTAATAACTGATTCAAAATATTTTCAGGTACTTTAAAGGCCCCGAGCTTCTTGTGGACCTACAAGACTATGATTACTCTTTGGACATGTGGAGTCTGGGTTGCATGTTTGCGGGAATGGTAAGCTCTACGCTTATTTAACGTATATTGTGGTTTGTTTTTGGATCACATTTTTGTATGTCATATCGCATTCTCACATTTTTTTTGGCCAGTGTCTTTTGGTACTCTCATTGGACTCTTCAATACGAAATGATTAAGGTTCAGAAGCCTGCTCAAGCCACGAAGTCCTGGCACTAATTTGCTTGTGTTGTTCTTGCAACTGGATAGATCTTTCGGAAAGAGCCTTTTTTCTACGGGCATGACAACCATGATCAGTTGGTCAAGATTGCTAAGGTACTTTGAATGAATATTTTTTTGAAGTCTTTTCCATGGCGGATATATTTATTTATTTTCCACTGGAAAGAAGTCGGGCTCGTACTACGTCTTGACTGTAGTTATAACACGCTTAAGGAAACCATACCCGATGCATGTCTCGCAAGTCTATTGATGACACGGCGTCGAAAAGTTCATCTATAATTCTCCTTGTGGTTATATCGGACTTACTACAATTTGCGCTAACTTTCCTTGATTCTTCATACGGTAGATCAATTGTCGAAAACCCTAATAGAGCACTTGTGGGGCAACTTCACCTTCTACATTTCCGATGTTATCGGCAGATTGTGCTGACTGTATAACACCTTTTGGGAGCACGAAGGTCACTGACCACTGTATCATCTCTCTGTTCTAGGTCTTGGGTACAGATGAGTTGAATATGTACCTGAATAAGTACCGGTTGGAACTTGATCCTCACTTGGAGGCACTTGTAGGAAGGTGAGACTCGTCCTCGATCTAAGTTCATGATCAATAAATATCTACCGTGGCAGCAGTATGTATTTTATGTTTTGGGAAGACTTCACCCTGGAAAAGTGTATGGTTTGTCTAAGCATTACTTGATTCAGGATCAATGATGCTTCGTTTGCTTTGAGTAATTCTGAATTCTGTGTTCGTATTCATTGCTCGGCTTATGACTTTGCTTACCTTGAGATAGCTAGATTACCTTGAGATCTCATAACACTATTGATGTCTTGATGTCTTGATGTCCAGGCATAGTAGAAAGCCGTGGTCGAAATTTATGAATAATGACAATCAGCATTTGGTGCTTCCGGAGGTTTGCTTAACTATGTCTTCCTTTTGTTATCTTTGGAAAGCTTAAGTTTTTTCACTTTCCGGATGATTTTCTCATACGTTGCGAGAAGCATTTATGTTGACGGCAGCGTGGTTTTTGTGCTAGCAATATCTCATGTGTGCTCTCATCTAGGTCTGGTTTAGTTGTGTCGCGGATTTATACTCTCTGCATATTTGCACCTTCGATGCAGCCAGTTGAGAAGTAGTGACATGTTATTGTGACACAGTTATTATCGTGGTTAACAATCATGTACTTCGGATCTATAGATGATTTGACATGTATATAAAGCATTGAAGATGTCAGTTTGAAAAGCCATCATACTTTGTTCAATCATGAGACTCTCTCCAAATTAGATTCTCTGCATATTTTATGCGTCATAATTTCCCATCTTTTTGCAGGCGGTTGACTTTTTGGATAAGCTTCTTCGGTATGACCATCAGGAACGGTTAACTGCCAGAGAAGCAATGGTACGTTATCCTTATCTTTCTCTTCCAGGCAATTCCTTTTTAAGTGCCGCTCTCATTGAGATTCGCATTTCCTCGTGAAATGGTCTGTTTGGCTCACGTTTTGTCGTATTTAATGTTTTTCCAGCTACATCCTTACTTCAATCCCGTCCGAGCAGTGGAGGCAAACAACCGTAATCGGATCCTGTAAATGTTCGAGGTATTCTGACGCAAGGGGTCATGTATTATTTTCATCATCCTGATGTTGAGGCCAAGTCGTTCACCTTAGTTTTGGGTAGTAGAATTTTAAGTGGAGTTTTTGTATGAACGTGCAGGCTGATCAGTATTGGGCGATGTTGATGCTTCTTGAACAATGTCACTCTTTATGCGGTTATTGTGAGTGCAGTAGATAGGGAGTTACTGGTTGGTACCTGAAGCGGCTTGATGAAGTTAGTACCACTGCGGTTAATATGTAGCCTTTTGTGTCTCTACCTCATTGTCACCATATCTAAGGGGAGCAGGAGTGGACGCCTGTGGAAAGTTTTCTTTCAGCATATCGGGAGACAGAGTTTGGGGGGTTTTAAACTCGATGTAGCTGATAGCATATTATTTCGGCTTCTTTGTGGACATATGTCATTCTATTTGGGATGTCAGATCATAAGCTCGAGTGCCTTTCTGATTTGACAAGCTGGTTGATTGGGCTATTAAGATCATATGAGTACCTTGGGTTAGTCAAAATGATGCCGAGATTTCTTCACATGTGAAGATAGCCATCCGTCTTCTGCGTGAACATTTTGAGCTGTATGCTTTCGTAGTAAACTTCAGTCGTTCGTTGTATGTCGCCTACAAAATGCTCTCAGTGTACAGTCCTACATCAGCAGGATCCATAGCCTCATCCATGGCCTCTGTTTCAGTTCGGATTGTCTCTCTTTCATTATTTGGAAGCGCAGTTTCCGAATCGTTGAGGATGCCAAGGAGAAGGGACAACGAAGAAGGGTTAAACTATACCTAGGAGTATTTCACGACTTACTGATCCAACGTGTGCATCGCATAATACAAAGGCCCTATTACTTCAAGGTACAGAGTAGCCATTCCGCAAGGACCACTTCTTTACAGGAGCGCGCACATTGCAGTGGCGTGTAACTTATCCTTTTAGATTGGTGTACGGTGGGTTACCAGCGTAATGCGTAAAAGCGAAGTCTTGCAGATGGATATGTACAGACACATGTTAATTGCTAGTTTATGTCACATAATTGTCTCGGATCGTTCCACTACACAGGCCATATTGCTCAGTCACAGGACCTACCACCCGTTTCTAAATGCTAGTATACCGGAAAATATGAAAGTGTTATAAATAAGGAGTTGTCTTCGTTTTACTCTAAATTCAGTGTGTTTTGTCGAATGAACACTACATTTGTTAAGATTGTTAAACACTTTTTCAATTCTTGAGGGCTAATTGGTTACGGGTAACACAGTGGTGTGCCAAGCCGAAGTCTGCCGAAACTTCTGCAAAGGATCACCAACAAATGGATCATTGCCTAACCACGTAAATGTTTTCGTGGCACGTAGCCTGGGACGAACAACCTAATCATTCTCTTAAAGGAGACATTCTACCGAAAGTATCGTTGTTGACGTGCTTGAGCCCTGCTGGAAAAACCGAAAATCTAGTCAAATGATGAACGAGGAATGTGTACCCTTGCTCGTAATATCCCGATCATTGAATTTCTTGAGAGAATTTTACTTGACGGATCCAAGCAGACCCATCTTACAGCCTTTCGTCGTGTATGTTCCCATGCGAGTTCTTGCAAAGTGTTTGTGGTCTGTGTTGTAAGAGTTCAGCATCTTGGCGAAAAGTCATATTAGAACCGTGCTTGCTATTTATAAGTTCATGTTTGAGTTATAGCTTTTGATGCCGGTGAGAGCACCTGGAGATTAGCCAGTATACAGGTTTCCAGTTTCTGTATTTTGTGTGAATTCTCATGGTTGCCAATTTTGATCTTGCCAGAGCCCAATTTCTCACATCTGAGAATGATTTTACAGTTATAAGATATGGGCCTTATTTATTTACACTTTTCCCTTCTTTCTAGAACTCTTCGCCGAAGTCACGTTTGCTGCCTGTTTTGAATGCCTCGTTGACAACCAGGGACTTGGGGGAGAATTACTGAACTGATCATGGGGGAGAACTAACTGTTTATTCGAAAAAGAGCTGCAGTGGTTTTTCCAGGAAACGAAACAGTTACAAGAGTATGGAATCTGGGCGATGGTGGGAAGCGCATTCGAAGTGGATAAAATGAAACGTTTTGGGTCCAAACAGGCTTGTGCATTCTTTTGGGTCCCATCAGATAATTTGCTCATTTTTATGAAATATCTAGAACAATTTTGTAAGTGAAATGCATAAATAAAGCGAGGCATATTTTAAATATTTTATTCAATCGTTTCCTCCGGATTCAGCAATAGTACTGCTGTCACCAGAAGAAATTATCCCCGAGCTTGTACTCACTCGGTTCTCATTTCCTTACGTTTAACTATTTTGTTCATGTAACAAATCAATCTCATTTAACTAAGGGCTCATATTAATAATTATGATTATGATTGTTTCCAACAGAAGAAAAGCATTATGAAGTCTTAGACTAATCTTCCTCTGAAGTTGGACATAGCCTACGACATCTCATGTGTGGTGAATGAAGAGGCACGAAGTGAGTATAAACCTTGTTTTTAGACATGTCGTATTTGGCTCTTAATATTGCTTTACAACTTCTCAAGCAAAATAATACTTTCGTGTTGCCATGTCCATACTCATGTACTAGTGGTGCCAAGAAGACAACAGAAAAGGATGAGTGTCCCATGAAGCTATTCTTACTTACACACTTAAAGAAGAGACAAATCTATAATGAGCTTATATTGAAAGAGTCAAAACTTAAATCTTTGTCAACTGTAGATGAACAATTCTGCAGGTTTTACCGGAAGATTCTAACTATGTTAGTATAGGATGCGTTGACATTTGATTGCGTTTGACATGCGTTGACATTTTCATCAGAATCTTCTAACACTATCAAAAACATGAATCAACCATTAATATATATGTTCATCACAAATTTATACATTAAAATTATTTTTAATAATATACAAGCAAACCTAGATGTTGATTTTTCATATTGCTTTGAACGTAAAATTTATAGAGTACATATTCTAGAAGTGAACAACGTTCATTTGTCGTCCATGTACATATCCTGTCATGAAGTAAATATCTTTGACATCATCACGATACAGAAAATCAAACATCGACATATGTGTATCAAACTGATGTAATCTATATTCAAAACATAAAATATAACAATACAGTGTTTATCATATCAAATTGAAATTTAACAATGAAAACACATCCACCAGTAGAATCCATTATTTTGACCTTGAAACTATGCACATTGACTCTATCACAGGCAAACTATTTGCTGTTCAAATTCACACACTGCATATTAGAGCATAAATCTTCAACTCTATGCTGAAATCCCAATGGTTCGACAGTAGAACCCCATCAACAAAAGCCTTACAAAGATGAAGCATGTTGCACTGCCCTTATCCACACAACGACTATAGTACTATCCTTTGGTCGTTCGAGTGAGGGACAAGTGTCAAAATGTTCCGACTGGAAAAGGGTTCGCCAAAACTGCCATCGCATGAAACGTGACTATTCTTGTCTCGGAAGCCTAAGAGACTCGCGAATCGCTGACGAAATCGTCAGCAGTCTCTCGAGGCGGTGTCGACGATGCCCGGCTGGGAAATCACAGGAAAGCCACACGAGCGCGCACTGAGATGAGATGGGAGGATCTGCTCGCGGGTGAGGAGGAGGACGACGACGAAGAAGAAGAAGAAGAAGAAGGCGAGGCGATTCGGATCGAGCAGCATGGTGCACGACCTGACCGGTAAGGTGGCCCTGGTGACGGGAGCGTCGTCGGGGATCGGGCGCGAGCTGGCGCTGGCTCTGGCGCTGCACGGGTGCAATGTGATCGCTTGCGCCCGCCGGTTGCCGCTGCTGGAGGCGCTGCGGGCCGAGGTGGCAGCGCTGCCGTGGGACGGGGCGAGCGGGGCTCCGCGGCCGGGGAAGCTGGCCGTGCTGCGCGTGGACGTGAGCGGCGAGGAGAGCGCGATCGATGCGGCGGTGGAGGATGGGTGGAAGATTTTCGAGGGCGGCATCGACGTGCTGGTGAACAATGCGGGAATTCGAGGCCCCGTGAAGGATCCGCTGGACCTCGACGAAGCGCTGTGGGATGGCACTTTCAGGACGAACACCAAAGGGCCATGGCTGATGGTGAAGGCGGTGGGCAGGAGAATGCGCGCGGCCGAGAAACAGGGCTCGATTGTCACCATCACCTCCACCGCCGGCTTGGAGAGGAGTATGCTTCCGGGCGGCCTCGCGTACGGCGCGTCCAAGGCCAGCGCCAATCAGCTGAGCAAGCTTCTTGCTTTGGAGTTGGGCAAGTACAAAATTCGGTCCAACGCAATTGCGGCCGGCTTGTTTCGATCCGACATCACCGACAAGCTTTTTGAGAAGGCCTGGTGGCCTAAGGTGGCCAAGAAGATTGTTCCCATGGGCCGATGGGGCGTCGTCAATCCGGACATGACGTCTCTCGTAATTCTTCTCGCGAGCGATGCTTCCGCTTATGTCACGGGAAATCTCTTCATCGTGGATGGTGGGCAAAGTCTGCCGGCTGTCCCCGTCTGGTCCTCTTTGTAGGGCGGAAACTCTGGCGCGATGCACGAGCGCCCTATGGCGACTCTATTTGTGAATAGCTCATCAATATTCCCATTTCCAATTCATCAGCTCCTGATTCTTTACGTTCTTAGGTTCGGATGAAACATTGATTATTGACATACTTTGAAGTCTACACAGAACTCCTGATCTGATGTTTTGGGTGATCTCGGAGAGCCACAAGGCTTTGAACTTCTGGGATCCCTCGTCATTAAATGTAAGTAGGTAGGCATTATCACAAAGGACCATCTGCTCTCCTGGCCACAGACTGATTCTGGGACTCCTGTCGAGGAGGCTGAGTGAGAATTCAGCCTCCTCGAATTCATCAGGCTGAGTGTGAATTCAGCTTGATTTAAAGGTTAGTGGATGTAGCTTGAAATGATCACGGAAGGACTGCGATGAAAGATGAAATCTCTAGACGGTTGGTTTCCAGTGCAGGGCAGTGTAATTCTATGAATGAACGACTGGTATCTCAAGTATGAAAGTCCAGCAGAAAATGAGTGTTAGGTTTGCAACCACATCATTTGTGCGGTGGAAATAAAAATACATATCCTGGTGTCAACTACCAGCCTTTTTAGCCATCTTCCTTCCATATTTCTTGCATCGAATTGTGTATTTTTTTCTGCACTCGTTCCTAGACACCATGTACCGAATGGAATGTACGAATTTATCAAACTGTTTATTCTTCTGAAAAAAATCTGCAGGGTCAATCCGGTTGTGTTATCTGCTCTGGCAATACATAAGTGGGAGGGACTCTACCAAACATAGCTAAAGTTGCTACAGAGGTCTATTGCAACTTTAGCTGCAGGTAAACATCTACAACCGAAAGGGCGTACAAAAGCTTCGGAATAACAAACGAGAACGATCGGGTCGGTTGTGATTAAGATCGGAACTTGTAGTTGTCAAGATGTGCTTGTGAACCCACTACGTACGCAAGGCACTTTTCGGGCTTTATCACTTCTAGACGGAGAGTGGTTACGCTTTCGGAACATGTTACTTGCACGTGGGCTTCTCAGAGTAATGGGATTTTTATTGTTGTTACCATGAAAGGGGCACTTTCCGTTAAAGTGCATGCGGTCCATTCAATCCCTTGCAACCGAAGTCTGCCGCACCGTTGTGGAAGTGGATGAAGTGGGTATAGTACGGACCTCGAAACAACACGTTGTTTCATGGCATCCTCTTTTAGGAATATGCACTTTGAGACAAAACTGAAGCATGGAGCAATTACTGGACCTGGTGTTTACATTCCAGCAGATTGTACATGTGGCCCGTCTTACTTCCATATGAATGTGATGACTCTACTCTTGAGTAAAAAGGTCACCGTTCGTGCAGACTCCAAAGACGCCGGGCGAGCACCATTTTATGCATTTTGCATACAAATGAGTGGAAAGGGCCTTCAGCCTTTTGGAGATTCCAAACTATAAACAACCTGTTCTAGATTTCGAGTTCAGTTTGCTACGGGGCAAGACAAAAAGTTGTTGCAACTTCGTAACTATATATTCGCAATGAGACAGTGACTCAATCGAGCACAATTTATAGTACATGGATATTCCAACTCGAAACTCCTAGATGGATGGCAACTAGCTCTTGACGGTGTTCCCTTCTAATCTGACCTGCAGAGTTCAAAGTAATATGCTTTTGTGTAACTCCTGTGGACACACTGTACATGTATGCTGCGAAATGTTCAGGTATGATAGCCTCGTTTCATAAGAAGCGTTTCACAGATTCTGGATGCAGTCAAATGAATGATCTTCTAATATCAACAGCCCAACACCCAATACTTCTAACTGCCGATTGATAAAAGAGCGAGAAACTACACGGCACTTCGTTCAGAGGAATTTACAAGTTGTACAATTGAATACTGCCGACAAGAACGCAGAGGAAAACTACTAGTAGTGTCATGAAACCACCATGAAGGACTGAAGTGGGCGCCGATGATGGCATTCCTGGTGGCGAAGGAGCGAGAGGACCGGTGTCCATCGCTACTGATGCTGCACTCACATATGCATTTGAACATATTATTAGCCGCCCTCCTCAAAAACTAGGTAAACCAAGTTCACAGATTTTACATCCATCCTTTTCTGAAATTTGTAAATCTGCTGGAAATCCTGAAAGGAATTCCTCCCGTGCCAGAACGAAACACAACATAATCTGCTAAATTTTGAAAACCATGAAAACCAAAAACAGCAACAGCTTCCTTCATCAGCGGTGCTGATGAAGGAAAAAAATGGAAGCAGCACAGGCAAGAATTTGTAGCTCCGGGCAAAAAGAATCACAAGCTCGAACGAACGAGGGGCTGGAGAAAGATGAATCACTTGCCTGCATAACTGATCGACCAGAGGTCGTCGTCTTGAGTGATAGCCCAGAAAAAGTATCCCCTCAAATTCTTGCTTTGAGCATAGAAGACCTTGCGGGTGATGACAACCTGATTCTCGTATGACACCCACAAGTTGTCGGCATGGCAGTAGCTTGTGACCAAGGTTCCATCGGTCACGACAGAGGCAGATTTCTCCTTGATGAACGTGGCCACCTCTGCGTAGAAAAAAACTCCTTTCTCCTGGCTTATGGGTTGGGCAGGCCCTGCAGCCACGGCCGGGGCATTCAGGCCAGTGGCCTCGTTCTGGTCCTTCAATACCCACGATCTCCCGTACAAGGTCAGACCCAACACGGCTTTCTCAGAAGGCAAACCGGCCTCGAGCCAAGAAGTGATCCCAAAATCTGCACTGAGATTGCTGTCGGGGTCGTAGAGGTTGGCATTAGCACCGGTCTGTGTGACATCCCAACTGCCATGAAAGTCATAGCACATTATGTTTACAAAGTCGAGGTTCTCAGAGATGGATTTGACAGGGTACGTTCCCACGCCCACATTGGCCAGCACTGGTTTGTAGTATACAGCTGCAGTGAGAAGGAGTGGCGCCGTCGTCGATTCCGAATTTACTGCCACACGCCATTCTGCAATGAAAGAAGAGAAGTTGTCCATTTCGGCTTGAGATTGGGCGAACTCGTAGTCCAGGTCCAGTCCGTCGAAGCCATTCGATCTGGCAAGAGAAATGCTGGAATTGATGAACGCTTGCCGAGATTGCTCCGTCTGCATGACTTCCTGAAACTCAGGACCGCTGGCACTGATGGAGATGAGAGTCTTCACTTCGGGGTTGATCTTTTTCACGGTCTGGCTGAATGTCTCGATGTCGACATCATTGGCGCTCGGCTTCAGCAGACTGGTGTTACTTTCAATGAACGCAAAGGCGTAAAATATGTGAGTGAACAACGATGCGTTGATCGCCGATGCTGGCACTCTCGTACTCCCTTCCTGCCAGTACCCTCCCTTGACCGTCGTTGCTGTGCCATTCTCTTGAGCTCCTACTCTGCCCATCAACACAATTCCTATAAGCGACCACACGATCGCCCATGCTCGCGCCATGGCTCGTCCGTCTTCTAATTTTTTTTCAATTTCCACTCTCGATCGACTCCAGAATATTCAAAATTTCAAGATTTCAGCTTTCAAATTGTGTTCGGCAGTTCTTGGAATTCCTCCTGATCTCAGACAACTGACTCATACCGACATAATATACCCTCCCTCATCGCCATGGCTCCTCCTCCTCCTCCTCTCCTCCCCTCCCCTCCTTTCCCTTCCCTTCCTCCCCTTCTGCCGCTGACAAAATCTACACAGGATTTGGGACCCACGCAATGACAGCACATGAGAGTCTTTGTCCTCACATTCTTGGCCACGAGGAATGCTACTGCGAGGAGGGAAAATCCACTAACGAACTCATCTCTCAGGTTTAAATTTTGCCCCAAGATCCGAAAGCACGAATGTTAGACTTGGCTCGCACGCCCGGCAAGCGCTGCCGACTGGCCGACTGGCCGATTGCTTGCAACGGAACAACAACAGCAGCAGCAGCTTTGCAAGGTCATAAACGAACGTGGATTTCGTGGAAGATCATCATCCTTTTGAGCAGTGCTGGATATTTCTGCCGTGCCTTGAACGATGGCCAGACAGGGTAGGAGAAGTTTTTATGGGCGAAGCTGGCGGCTTCGAGTAGAACTCGACCACGGCATCTTTCTAAATCCGAATGCTCATCTTGACGACGCTGTCGACTGAAAGTAACCATTGACTTCGAGTAATGACTGCACCGATGTTGACCTTTCCAACGCAGCGTTCAGTGTCATTGAATTGTGCAGTGTAATTGAAGGGCACTGCACTGGACTGAGTCCACCGAACATTCCATGAGGTATGCACCGAACAGTACCGAACGTAAGTCGACGTATGCGCTATGCACTACAAGCAAGGCGTCTGAGAACGAGATGAGAAGTTACTCTCCCTTCCACCCCCTGACACTGACACTCTCATCTTCCCAAAAGTCAGAGGCTGCCACGTACTCCGCAACTATTGAATGCACTCGCCGGTAGAAAACTTCCGCCGTTTTCTCCGGCGGAAGTGTCGACGAGGGACCAAGTCCTCCGACGCGGGACTGGTCCTCAGTGGATAAGGAACAAATCGGAAGATCGCATCAAGCGTCACTGAAAGGAAACGACTCGGCGAAAGAGTAGAAGAGGAAAAATGTCCTCGACGTGGACGGGGCTAAGTCCATAGCCAATTCATCTTATACCCACCCGTCAACCTTGGCGAACAACAAGAGTAATCGACTGATCTCCTTCGGTATCATTACGAAAAATCATGTTTAATCATTTGCAATATAGAAGAAACTAGAATTTTCAACTAGTTTCCGTTATCTTTCTTAAGCAAATGGAACCAGGGATTAATCTCTTACAGTATCATTGTCAAATATTTTGGTTAGTATCACTTACTGTATCTACATGAAACGACAAACAGCAATAGAATATTACAAGTCACATTAGTTGATGTAATCTTTATACCTTTACATACTGCCAACAATTGTTTTATAAATAAATATATATATATATATATATACAATGATAATTAATGACATTACAATTGCACCAAGGCCTTATATTATTTATGCATTGACATTGCATATCATGATGATGATCATTATCTTGTCTTTTAAGTAAAGAACAGATATTTCATTCTTTTGATCATGAGGTGATTCAGTCAAACCTCGGTATAAAGATATTCCTTATAAGGATATTTTTTGAGGTCCCTTAGATTTTAGATGGCAAAATAAGGATATCTTGGCCGCAAGGATGTCCTTAGTCATTCTCATTCCTCTTTTACTTAGACCTTGACGCGTATCCTTACTTCTAAATCCACAACAACATAACCACCAAAATGGAGTACAAGAAACAACTTAAAACCTTGAGCGATGTTGAGAAATGCATTATCATAAGGAAAACATTCTCAATATGTCTACAATAGATGATTTCGAGAAAGATTGCTGCAAGACTTCTACATCTATTCCCGCTAGATATAATTTTTCTAAATAGTCTAAATAATACATCTTTAGGGTGGGTTTAGTTATCATTCACTTAGGTCTAATTATCCTTCACCTTATTAGACGGATTTATTTGATTGGTCAAACATCCTATAATTGCTATTGCATCCCTATTACCTTGCATCGACTAATAAAAAAACTGACTATCTTGCATTAACCAATAAGATAACTCCATATAGTAGAGTGAGGTCTAATTAATCCTAAGTGATGAATAACTATCCCAAACCCATCTTTATTATAAGTATATCTCTACATATCCTACAATCTCACGTATCCTTATATTGAGTTTTGATTGTAATCAAAACAATGAACTTTCGATCATAGAATATATCATTTTCAAAATCCCTTTACAAATTTTAAAGATCTACAACTTTAAGATTGAATCCTAAATAAAAAATATTTAATACTTTATGGAAGATAAAACATACTTAAATAAAATAATAATCGATAAATGCACTGGATATCTTTGGTTCGAAACCAACGTGTGTACCACGGGGTCAAATTTGGGATACTTTGTTTAAATTTTGTATTCTGGCAGTTCAAGAAAGTAAAATTTACTCTGATATTTCCAAACACTTGATATTTTAAAAAATTGATAATATTCAAATGCAATCAGCGCGTAACAATTTCTCTGTTTACTGTTGACTCCCAATAGCAGAGTAAGAGTTAAAATGGACGAAGCATAGACACGTTCAATTCAAGATTTATAGTATCCAATTCTTTGTTGTAAAACTGAAAGTACTTCGGAAAATCGAAGTAGGCATGCTCCTCTTCCTTTTTCTTCTGCTGTTCTTATATTGTTAGCGAAAAGTAGGACACTGAACTGACACAAAAAGCAAAAGAAGCACTGAAGACTTATTCCAAAGCATCTTTTTGAACGAGGTCTTCTCTAAATAAATTACTTTTCCCTCCTTTACCCTTTAACGGCTCGTCTTCCTATCTTTGTGAAGTTTCTTGGTGTCCTTCTTATCCATGTATCTTAAACCCTTTTTACAAAGTGGAGAGCCAGGTCGAGTTGAAGTACCTATATTAATTACCAGAGCAGTCTCTGTGCGATCATTTGATACCTCTTTCATGATAAATGTGAAAATTACCTCTGGTATGCTTTTCCATGTATCTGACACCCTTTTTCAGAAGCGGATTCAAGTATTTTGTGCTTCTTATCGTCTTCTGGTACGTCTAAAAATACAAGAACACTTACTTAAAGTTATTATTTTACTATATTTTCCCCTCCCTATGGTATAATGTGCAAACATTTCCTATATCATGGGGCGAGATAAGTATATACAGATAATCGTTTGGTTTCATGATTTTATCTCTTGTATTTTCATCACATTATTGTTCGAGAGATTCTGTTGATTACCATGCTTAATTTTAGGTGAAATCTAAAAACTTTAGATAATCATACTTTCCTGCCATTGAGTATGGACAACATATATGTTTGTATGCTCCAACTTCAGATTCAAGACCATATCCAATTGTGATGTATAATTCAAGTACAAGTAATTATCATAACGTAATACATAATATCATTAACGTAATCTTGACTTTTTAGATAAATTTAGATAACTTTTATAATCATTCCAACATTTTATACTTTTTCTTTTGAAATAATACAAGATAATTCTTTTAACATGCACTTTTTTTAACTTTGTTTTTTATAAAGTCTTATTGAACCATAATGTAATATGAATATAGAGACATTTCATGTCTGTTATATAACAAGTTGCAGTTTCATGACATACAACATTTTGACTGAATGTTTGAAATTGGTTTATAAAGGTTCTCAAAGAAATTTTATGTCGATTCGTATCTTTATCTATTTTATATATTTGTATGTGATACATCATGACCATTAACTATGATAAATACAAAGTTTGAAATAAGAGATATTTTTTAAGTCGAATGCTAATAACAATGTTCTTAAGTCAAACATAAATGGCATCAAATTAAAATTTACATCAGGTTTACAGTGCTAAGCGATTCTCATGCCCCAGCATCTTCGTAACAACCCACATTATATTCAACTTTGTTGTCCACACATACGTTCGCCATGTGCCATGACATTCAAAACAGCTGTATGCAGAAAATTAAATTCAGAAAGAGGGAAGAGACCTCGCATGATCAGGAGTGAGGTAATATATTTCACTTTTTAGACGCGGTCTCTTTAAGCTCTCCCACCGCAGCAGGTGAGTCAACTTATTACCAAAACTGAACTCTGAGGCCTTGACTTTGACTGTTCCTAAAAGATGAGTAAGTCAACGAGAGCTGACTAAATACTGACAATTCTAAAATCGTGATGATTCACCTGCGTGAGAGTGTGGGCAGGCCACCAATTGTAGCAAAAATGAGATTTTATTTCCCCAATGTTGTTTGTGTACGGGCTGAAATGGGAAACGAATGATTGGAGTACGTGATGAGAATGACAGGCGCGCTTCGTTGGGACGTGTTGCCACATGCAATCGATCGCATGATGCTTGAACTGCATGGAGCTTTCTCACTGTGAGACGATCTCTGTACGAGCGTCATTAAGATCATTGGTGGCTGAACTGGGCTCATAATCCAACAGTCATGCACTGGCAACAAGCACGTCTCTTCGACCGACTCACGTCGGGGGTCGGGCAGCGTCGCCGTCATGCATTGTCCGTCGGGCGAGTCCAATTTCGCCACACTCCGTCAATTCGGCCATGGACTGCCACGTGAAGGCTGCTCTGAGACTCCCTCACGAGAATGAAATTGGCGAGATCTCGGTCGCGCAACTGTGCAGCAGATTCGATTCTCCCCCGCCCTTCTCTCCCATTCGGTGCACGAGGCAGTCGCTTTCGCCCGTGATGGAAGAGACGTCGGGCCTCGTAGATGAGCATTCCACCGACTGTCAAGACGGAGTAGAACGAGCGTCGACCGATTGCGACGCGGCAGTTGACGTTGACGTTGACGTTGCATGTCTTACTCCCAAAGCTTCATACGCTTTCAGTCTGCTGCAGAAATCGATGGAAAGGAATTTGGAAAGTTTGTACGCCGAGCAAACTGCGACGGAAAACTGCAGACAATGTTCTGATTCGCCACAGTCCTTCAAGGAGAATGAATCGGAGACTTTGAAAGCTTTGACATCCCAATCGTCAGTGGATATTGAACTTGCCTGTGTGAAATTTAATCCAGTTTTGACTGAACTCCTCGAACTTGTGCCCGAAGACTCCATCTTTAAATCGTTGAACCACGTAAGATTTCCTGGCCCGTCGTCGAGGGTCTCTAAGAAGAAAATTAATGACGTCGACAATTCCCAAATTGTCAGCGGCTCGAGGAACAGTCAGGAAAACGCACGGAAAGAGGAAGCGGATCCAATTGATGAGTACGAGGCGGGACGAGGCAGGAATCTTAATTTCCTATAAAAGGGATAATTTATCATGTCAAATCCAGACGAACAACAAACAAGTCCAAGGTCGCACACGAAACGAAGGATTTCGAAGCTCAATTCTAAAGAAAGGATGATGTGTGTGTTCAAGTTTACATCCGTTCAATTGAAGAGTCGATCACGGTACTGAATCGCAGATTGACTATTAATCTTCAAAGGAGTTCGGGGGAGTTCGGGGGAGTACAGAGCCACTAGGATTGGACATGGGCCGGGCAGTTGGAAAAATCGTGAGCGCGAAAGTTTAGTTCCCGTCCTGGACGATAAAGTCAAATCTCCCGAGAATTTTGTTCCGAGAAGGCAGAGTAACGGCCTGTGATGGACATTCGCACATGAACGCGTCCCGATCGGCCAGCACAAAATACATGCTGCGGCTCCGAGAAAAGCCGCATCTTCTCCTTATCTCGGCCGTTCATGACCAAAGTGAACCGGAAGGTCTTCATATGGAAAGGATAAACTGCAATTAGTAAACCTCATCGCCTCCACTCAGTGAATGTCTCGCCCTTTACAAGCAATTCTACAAAATTTCTGTAGAGGAAACCACTTACTGTATGTGAAGACATTGGAAATTGGTTCACAGAGGATTTAATTTAGGTCCTCCTCTCATCGCCGTTTTGAACACATGGATGGCTAGATCAACCGGTTCGAGTGGGGTCTCTGGCGATGCCAGCTTGTGTGCCAGCTTGATGGGGAGATGGCCTTCTGTGTTCTGTACTCTAGGCAAAGAAGGCATTGTCAGTGTTCTTTCATCTCCGTACAGTATACCATGATATGATGTAGACGTCTACTTGAACTACATGACATTCACAGTTGTCTCATTCCAACTCGGCAGTTTGGCATCGGTGTCAAAGGTATCCAACAGAAGCCTATAGACGGGTTTTACATCTAAAGTTGCAATTAGGATGGAAAATTGCTGAGAATAATAATAAGAAAATCACATCACTGCTTGTAAGATAAGACCCCCATTGGGACTGCCCTGCACACGAACACCCTCATGAAATCGATGATGTGCCCACTCAGGTTATTTTCTTCCGATTACAAACACTATCCGTTTTACAAAGAGAATGTCCCTTCGGCCGTTCCTCCCGGTCGAATTTCATTATCGAAGACCACATGTCTCTGAACATAATTGTGCAATAACCAGATGACTTTGTGCGGGTACTAAATAGTTACTCGAAGTTCTTCAGATATATATCGAAGATCTCAATTAATACTGCAATGGTTTCATGAATATAACTTACCTGCGGACGATGTTAACATAACACTTGCGTCCTAAACGGCCAAAGTCATATAGCTAACTTGACACTTTGGGTGATTCTGCTAAACCCAAATAGAGATACTCACACAAAGCTCTTCACACAAGCATTCCAGTTTGTGAGGAAAGCTCTCGACACGTTCTTTTAGACAATGGCCACTTGCAAACATCATAAGAGGCAGAAGCGACGATGTAGATTAAGCTGACTACTTTCCTCACTATGGCACGTTCAGAACCAGCTCCAGTGTGTTTTACAAAGTTTCATGCTTCAAGTGAATGAAAACAGTAAATCCTTGCGCCCAACTTTCAACCTTGTAAGGGAACTTTGACGCCCTCTACACACTACCGAACTGTAAACCACTAGAACCCGGTATAAAAGCAACTATAAAATGTACAAACCAACAGGAATTCTAAAAAACTACATTATTCGGCCTCATCCGCAACAGAGACAACAGTAAGAGGCCATATACAGACGAGTCCACAAAATGAAGTACAACGTAAGGAAGATAGCGTAAAGTCATAATCCGTATCACACGCAGCAAACTTGCTCCATCCAGTCTTGAATCAATTTGGAGTAACAACGGGGCAATGTCACAGAAGGAGAGGCAGGTAATTCAATTACAGATGTTTACAGATACTGCACAATGCAAAGCTTTGTACGCAGAACTCTGTATGAGACAAAATCCTGATGTGATTGCAAGCATTTCTCTTATGCACTTGAGAGAAAAGGCCCCTAAACTCAGAAAACCGCCGACCTTCGTGTAACATACCTAACCAAAGCCCGAGAGACGCCGCTTAAATAGAAGTCAAAATTGTGAAGGCAAAGGTCGCGATGGCCTTTATGTACAGAGTGCAGTCAATTGACGAGACAGAGTTCAGTAGTTGTGTGCAGGTCCCTGGGTAGGAAGAAGACCAAAGCGCCTTTTGCATATGATCCTCTGCTTCGAGAACTTGTCATCCGGGGAGAATCGTGCTGCAGGAAAGAAAGAAGGCAAATATGAAACGCAAACGATTTCCACGCGTTCACGGTATCTGAATTGGAACAGAACAGAACATCACGAAACGCTGATAAAAACACGTAGAAGTCTTCGTTACCTGGATGTGCAGACATGGTGGGCGAGCCATCTGGAGCTTCCTTCTGTAGAAAAAACACTCAAAGCTGAGAAACGTATAACAAATTGGCCAAAGCCGAACCATTGCTCACAAACAAAGCAACCCTAAAACCGTAGAAAAGCGCTTAACTCACCTTCATTGTGTACACCTTGCTGCCATTCTCGTTGATGTAGTACATGAGATACATCTTGCCTGATAGATAGGCTACCAACAACGGCGGGAAGGAAGAGTCGAGGCCGGCACTAGCAATTCGACACGACGAGATTCTTCGCGCAGCCTCGCGGAAGAATTGAAACGAGAGAGAAGTCGCCTTAGCAAAGCCCTGGCTAAGCCCTTGCTCCTCTCCGCACTCGTGAGGTTGTACCCAGTAACTGTCAAGTGTAAGCCGCTAACTGCGTAACTCAGAGAACTTTGTAGCACAAAGTTAACCTGGTCTACAGACATCTGTTCTGTTAGACGCATTCACATTAGTGGGTAACATTGCATTTTTTCATCCACAGTACCAGATTTAATTGTATATTTATGTAATCACTAGAAGATGGAAAAAAAATCTATATGGATAAAAACACAAACCCTAATGGATAAAATTCCTTACTATACATGGAATCTCATTGATGTACCTGCAATAATGAAATTGAGGATAGGACTAGCAGGTAACCACTTTTTATTCTACTCTTAATCTATACTAACACATGATAAATATGCCGCAAATTGATATTGATATGACATTTTATGATTTTATTAATTGCATTCGATCCTGAGATTATACTCTTCCGAACTGAAGACAACGCATAAAGATGAGAGATTATATGGCTAGAGTTAGATTAGCAATTTAAAAAACAAGTATAGCATTAATTTCACTTTTGTCTCCTAATCTCACATAAGGTTTCACATCCCACTCTCTAAATCTCTGCACTTCTTTAATAGTAAATACGTTGTATGTTTTTCAGTGAAATGGAGATGAAAGTATGGAGATGGTTTCCTAGTAGATAGTTGGAAATATACCTATCATTTATCTAAAGCTTAAATAGAAGCTTTAGATAAATCAGTTCGCGCACATTGCGATGGATACGTAGTTGGTGCTACTAACTATACTAGGAGACCAAAGAATCAAATATTCAATTTGATTTCGATTCATCAAGTGTTGAGTTTTTGAATTGAACCTTGGAGATTGCAGCTTTGGTGGAGAGTGTCTAATGTAGGATATTGATGATTGCTATATTTTGATAGAGGTTTTGTAAATATTTAGAATGAATTTCACAACAAAAATTTGGTTTTAGAGCAATAAACGCGTTTTGGAACATGTTGGATGAGCTCAAGCTTCCATGTGATGGTTAAAGTTATAAATGATGGCTTATTTATTTATTTATATATATATATATATATATATGTGTGTGTGTTATATTTGACTGTAGTCAATTGTTTAATATTTTCAAAGACAATATTTCACTTTGATAAAGTAGATCAAGCTCAAAAATTACTCTAAGAAATTTAATTGGAATTGCCCAAAAAAAAACACAATAGTACTAGAACTTAAAAACTTCAGTTTCAAAAATTAATGAAAAATAATGGATTATCAAATGATAATCCTTAATCTATATGTAACTTAGCTCAAGGATGCACAAAGTTTAATGGTTGGAACCTACAGTAATGGCTCAAGCTAAACAAGATATCAGCTTTGAAGTATCAAATAATGATAACACTTCAAGATTGAACCCTATGTAGGTTAAAGCGTGTTAGATTCGGAGTCAAATTAAACAGATAAAATCTCACTCTCATAATCTGTTTCATTCATAATGTATTGATGAAATGACAAATAAATTCAACAAGCAGAAGGATTATTAATGAACTGTTTTCAATCAACACATTTATTAACACATTTAATCTTTATTTAACAAGCACACAAATTGATTATATGTTACGTTCAATTAACACACATATTATTTTTTAACTACCAAACACATTCATTGCATGATGATTATGGATAGAAAAATACACATTTCTTCATTAGTCCTTCCAAAATTTATAATATGTGTTTTTCATATGTATAGGATGAAATTTTCATTATATAATATAAAATCTTAGATTCATAATCTATTATATGCTCAATTCTAACCATGTTTATCAAATTCTTTGGTTGAATTGTCAAATTTACATCATCATTAACAGTTAGGTTATTTTGTTACTCTTTTAGCAATTGAATACCATACATATTATCATAAACATGTTGTTCTTTCCATGAACTATCATGACAACTTGTGTTGATCTTATAGTTATAATCATATTCAGTAAAATTTATCCAATCAAATTGTTTTTTTCTACCTTCATTTTCCTTGCATCTTCAATTTTCATAATCATTTGAGCAATGACTTCTACAATGTCGATATTTATATTATGCATATACAAATTTATGCATAAAAATAAACATGTATTAACTTTTAGATCTGATTTTATCATGATATTTTTCATGATTAGCATCTATAAATCAAATCAATAAATTTACACTAAATAAATTTACATAACAAAAAAAATCATAAGTATTGTAATTTGAAATATTTATAAATTTCACTTGAATTTAAAATATATTCATTAATCTTATTCATTGCAAAAGCAATGTTAAGCCTAATGCAAAGAATAATAACGTGATAGTTTTCAATACATTGTTGTAAAAAATCTTGACCATCTATTTTGATAACCATCTATTAAAAAAAAATGATGAAAGTTTAAAGTAAAAAGCTTAGAAGAAATATAAATAGTTTGATTAATCTCCAAATTTAACGTGATTAATCTATAACACTTCAGAAAAATCACAGTTCAAACACATAGCACCAATATCAAATATGGGAAAAATCAAAAATAAAAACTCATTTGAAAAATTACACTTTTCAAATATAGATTGAGTTGAAAATAGGAGTAATAGTTATTAAAGATGATGATGAAAAAGAGTTTGACATAATTAATGAAAAAAAAATTCAAAAGAAAACATGATTAAATTATAATTTTTATGAAAAATATTTTGCAGTTATCTGGAGAATTTTATAATTTTATATTATTTAAAAAAAATTTAAATTTTTTAGATTATCAAGCATTAGAATGATTATTAAAAAAAACCTAATTAAATTAGATGATGTAATCTGACTGCACAAAAGTTTAATTTCAAGATGATGCAAATCCTTTAAATGATAAATGAAGTCAAAATCTATGAAAAAGTTTAAATTGAAACTCAATAACATGAAGATATCAATGAAAATACAATGTTGTATTGACATACATTTGTGGATATGTGAAAATTTGAATACATAGAAGCTGAATCAAGTTTTACAATCAGCTAGATTGTTTAATATATATATATATATATATTAATTACATCATCTATTCACTAGGCAACTTGGCTATTGTTGAAGTTTAAATTTCATAGTATTTTTATTGAAAAAATTTCATTATTTTTCAATTAACTATACTATACGACATCATCAAGCTGTGTCGATCATGATGAAGCACTTTTCAAAGTACATTGTTTGGCTAGCTTTGCTTGACAAGTCGAATGAAGTCATAGCACATGCATTTTTAATGTGAGTTTTGATCTGATTCGATGTTGGGTAGATGGGTGTTAATGCATGTTGACTAATCAATAAAACGAGTTTTTGGCTTGTTTATTGTGCGATAGATCTTTGACTGATTGTGTGTTATATTTAGATACCATTTGCAGGATGATGGTCTGGACGAAAAAGAGTATTCAGAAAGTTTGGCTTGGAGAAAGATCATCTTAGATACTAGGAAATCCACTAGCATGGTTAGTGGATTATTGCATTAGCCGGCAAGCATATTTGTCGTCCTTTTCAACATACTTCTTGTTTACATGGAGCTATTTGTTGAAAATGAAAGTTCTGGACTTGGATTATCTTGAATTTTTTATTAGATTGTGTTTTGAAGGGCAAGACTCTTTTGCAGAGTAATGCCAATGACATTTGAAGAGAAGAATAAGCAGGAATTTTATTTTATACTTCAGCGTCTTCTTCAACCAGTCAGTGAAGTGTGCCATGCAATCTTAACATTTAAGTATACTTGAAGCATCCATGTGATGAGAACATTAACTGGAGCAAACTTCTTAATCTTGATATTTATTATTATTACAGTTTTAAGATTGGGAAAGATATTGAACAAATTGTTCTTCCCTGAATGGGTTGAAGTTTTGTTCATGAAATTTAAATGATTCTATGGTTTAACTCAAATGGCTCTACATTTTAGAATTGTTGCGATATTCAAATTTGTAGTATATCTTCTGACCAGTCATTTCCATGGGTGTTCACAGTTGGGATGACTGTACTTAACGTTATAATATTTATGCATGTACAATACCTAACTTATAGTGTATATATAACATGAAAGTTTAGAAAATGTACACAGAAATAATTCTGTGAAATAGCATGCTACGAACTTATTAACGAGGAATAGAATCCCAAACACGGCAAAAACTGAAACCTGTTATGCAAAAGAAAGATAATATCTCAATCTTAGATCAATTTGTGGTTTTACCATTTGTAATTTAGGTTTCGTTGCGGTTTGAAATTTTAATAGAGTTTCAAATTTAGATGGAGTCAGTATGACATTAATTTGAACTTTAATATTTACAGCTTACGAGAACTGCGAAATGGATTAATCTTTTGTTTCAGGTTACGTTTCAACAGCTAAAGTATTCACTGGATTGAAATTGGTAGTCCACAAAATTATTCACACACGACTTGGAGGCCACCGTAAGGGTTCAAAATTGTTATAAATCGACAACCCTCATAAGGAAAATCACCATCAATTAAGCCACATGGAGTGTGGGACACTTCGTAATATGCGACAGGCTTATCTTGTTTCGATTCGTTATTGTTGTCAAGGAAAAGAAGTTATAATAACTTTGATGCTTTGAAGATATTTGCATGCAGAGATGTGCACTGTACCCTGAGTCGATGCTCATCAAAGAATCATGCCCAAAATTAAATAAGATACAAAGCTTTCAGAATATAAAGAGAAGGTAACGCTTTCAGATTGTTTTATGTTTAAATATAGCGTTTGAATCAAGATATGTAAAGTGTATATATCTCATATCCATAAACTGTCAAAGCACTGCGGCTAGATTAAAAGTAGGCAAGCCTAGTAAGGCCTGGGACGGACAAATAAAAACACGTGTAAACTTATAAGAGCACACTGCAAAAGCGAAACATACGTGCAAGTGAAGAAGATGAGAAGTATATAGCAGTAGTTATGGGAGCCAGCCTTGCACGGTTCCTTTCCAAGCGATAATCTGCAACTTCTGAAATCGAACAGCTGATAAATAATCCAACAAAATGTTAGTAAGGTATCAAGATCGTAGTGTTGCAAAGATAGCGGTATAGGTCTGGAACGTAAATTTATATGAGGCCACAAATCATTTAACGAATATAATTACTCCATCAGTTGCAGTCATGTTCCTTCCATGCATTAGGCTTCCATACTCGAGATATATATTTGAACATGGGTTCAAAGATATTAGTAACAGCATGTGAACACTGTCAAAAGACTATCCAAGTGCCATCACCTAGATAAGTATTTATTTCATGAGCTCGCTGATGACTGCACCCAAGGATTCTCATTGTGGATACGTGAGAATCTCGAATTGCTTCAAAGAAGCTCAGTCAAAGGTTAAATATATAAAATACTGAAGCTTCTGGACAATATACATGATCTTGTGAATTGATGTGAGCCTCCAAGTACGCAACCCAACCATGAACATAAGAAGCCTGCACTATCATCAACCTGAATGCTGCATTTAAGTGAGGGCTGATATCTCACAGTTTGTGTCATGGACGAGTGAAAGGTATCATTCACAAAATGAGGGCAAGGAGAGTAACTACAATCAAGTTTGGACGATCTAAACTCAGAGGAATCATCCGAATGTACCTGCTACTACTATAGAGTGCATCAATTTCCTTGTTGAGGTTTTTTAAAATCTATTTTGTCAACTTTCACCTCTCCGTCCACTAATTCATATACATAGACCACCACTCGCAAACCGTCAATGTCCATTAGAACGAAACTGGGGTTTACGTCGTATGTAATGCTGCTGTAAGCACCTGTCGCAGATCCTGGGTTGATGATAACACCTCCCTCGTGTTTGTAGGCTTTAAATTGGTGGGTGTGACCGGTGATGAGAATATCTACATCCAGTTGTCGCTGCAACATTGCCAAAGAATCCAAATCTCCCCATGGCACCACCTTCAAAATTCAACAGACAGTGATACTGGGCAATTTCAGTAGATTGGCGTCAAAAGAAGAATATGTTCATACCATGACAAATGCCATCCGTATACTCTACAAAGGGTCAATATCAGATGGTTGAAGTTCTCAGGTTACCTCAAGTCTTCCATCAAAGGTTTAGAAATTACAGTCCTAGGTGTGAGTTCAGAACCTCAAGTGCTCATCTCGCACTGACGCCCTTTAACTATACCATCGAACATTTATGTGCCTCAAGAAGTGGTTTAGATTTCAACTGTTACATATATCTAGTAGTGCAGATTCTTCTGTCTACTTCAATAAACAACTTAAAAACGCGTACAAAGATGGATGGTGCAAACCATGGAGGGCAGTCAGAATTTTCCTTGTTGGAATTTTCAGCTAATACCATCCAGTATTTGGGGTTGGAAGCTCGAGTACACAGTTGATACAGTATAATATACTCGAAGATGCAATGTGCGACTTTTACAGAAAAATCTCATATGCGCTGCAATATGAGATCATGCAATAGTCTTCTTGTTTTCCTAATCATTGGATGTACACGCTTCACAACAATTATGTGCTGTAGCTGCTCATTCACTCTCAGAAAATTGGCACAAAAGCCTAACATCTTCTATGCCTGAAGCAACTCAAAATTGCCAGCCTCATTAAGTGTCAAGAGAGGGTGACAATTTGATAAACATAATACAGGACCCACCTCGTAATCCTTTCAAGCATTTACTTCTCTCTTGCAAACACATGACTCAGGCGAAAATTCAAAAACTCTTCCTGACTGCTTAGCTGAACAATGCACATCCTTTTTTAGTTTTAGAAGCACTAATCTTTCCATTTTCCAAATCTGTATTCATACGGGTTTTCTTTTATCGCATAAATTTTGAGTGAAGGTGGCAAGATACAAAACCTGGTGCCCATGACAAATCCCAAGCTTGAAAGCACCAATTGTGAGCAATTTCGTCTCAGGGTAGCGAGAATCATCATCATATTCTCCGCGAGTGACATGTACATCAGCGCAGAGACTCTTCAAGTAATCATGCACTTCCTGGATCGAAGGTAAAGACGAGGTGAGCACAGTAAATAATCCATCGCCTATAATTTGTTTGCAGCTTACAAATAAACGAAAAAATCCATCAGCATAAAGACACACAATGCCAACGATCACTGCGAGCCGAGTAAGACCAGAGCACGACCTTGATGCACAAATTGCCAGGACTTAAAATGTGCTGAATTTTGCCAGGCACCAGCATAGACTTGAATTTCGCAGGCAAATCCGCAGCTCTGTGCGGAATGTGCATGTCGCCCATTGCCAAAACGAGCACCATGGCTCCCAAGGGACACTCTTCAAATACAACAGGGCCTGGAAAAATCTACCAATTCCTCGATCAACCGATCCCCTTCAGACCTCTCCTCGTCTACCCCGACCTAACATCTATCCCTCCCGCGCTTCGTCACAAGTCACAACACCAATACACCATCATCATCCGCAGTCCTCCGATGACGACCTACAGAATCCCCATCGACTGATCGATCAATCGAGCTCTCGCGGCCCTCTGAGCGATGAGTGCCTCGATGCACTGGGATGCCTGCAGATTTGGGGTGTCAGTGAAGAGCACTGCCACATCCTCTGCTTCACTTCGTGCTTCCCGTTTGCGCATGTTCTAGTGTCGCACAGTCGCTAGTTCCTCCTAGCGTTCTTTCTTTCTTACTAGAACCAGACTTGCTGAACGTACTATTCCATGGAGGGTGAAAGTTTCTGAGCCTCTGCAAAGAAAAATCGCTTCTTGTGAGACGGTCGTCTACGAAACTCCGTCCTCTTCTCTCTGTACCACGGCTGCAGTAGAAAGTCTGTACTGTACCCAGATCCTGTACCTGGTTTGATCTGACCTCAGGTTACCTGGCACATCGTCGAAAGTCTCAACTCCCTGCAAGTCAGTTGTATACAATAACCTGCTTGACTGTCAATTTGACCGTATTCTAGTTCACGTATCCAAAAGAAAAGAAGGAAGATTTTAAGGCTGGAACTAGTGCTTCGAAATTCATCAAATCTGATTCCGATAAATATCACTATGATCATAAATCAGAATAATGTTAAAATGAGAAACATCAAGATTTGCGTCAGCCGAAAGATCACAAACATCATAATATTGGAAAGCTAACCTAAGGATTAACGTTTTGGCCTTCGATTCAAAAGGTTGTTTATGCTGAGAGCATTTTTTGCAAAAGTTGCTTTAGAGGTTCACTTTGCTATTGAAACATACTTAGCATTTTCACATAATTGATAAATTTGAATTATTGAAACAATCGAGGCTCAAAAATGTATATTGTTCATAATTTTATCAAATTCTAACAAGAAATAAATTATAGTTGATGTTACATTTGATAGTGAATTTATGAACAATTTATATATGAATTCTAGAATAATTAAAATGAGTGATTGATCGATGCAATAAGTAGCACATGGATGCCATCACATCATGATATTTTCCAATTTAATATTTCCATTTATTTACTTATGAATAATATCAAGACATAAATTTTTCTAAATTGAATATCAGCTAGATCGATTGTCATGATCAACATTATATCAAATTAAAAAAGTAAAAAATCCTAGTCCAAAGCTTATTTCAATTTTGATAAAAAATAATTTAATTTGGTTAAATCCAAAAAAATAATTAATTAAAATTGTAACTTGAAATTGAAAAAAATCAAAAAAATATTTTATTATTCCTGATCTATTGTTATAATTTACATTTTTTTTCTATGATTTATCTTTCAATCCAAATACATTGAACTCTCTATTTGCTTCAAAGTTATACAGGATTGATTATATTTATTATCTTAAATTATTATTTTAATAAATACAATCAATTTACTCTTGACTGCACAGAACATAATACTTCCTTAAAACTATTTCATGCATATGAAGTATTTTTTCATATTGCATGTATCAAATTGAATAGATTTTTTAAACTCATAATTGAATTCAATTCATCAAACAATTGCCACCAGCCTTATTCACTTAAAAATATGTTTATCAAAATAAATTCATATTAAAGATGTATATAGACATTTCATATCGTGCAAATTTAATTAAAAAAAAACACTAAGTCAAAAAATATTTGATTTATAATTATGATGCACAAATAATGATTTATTATACATCAAGCCAAAATCATTGCATATCTATTCTTTCATTAGAATCGTAAAATGTATATAGTTTTAAGAAAAAATAATATTAATTAAAATAAAAGTAAGCAAATCATTTTTCCATGTCCAAAATAAATATTCATGTTTCACTTTGGATTCATATATTTTTTTTCTATAACTTAATATTGCTCATTCACATCCAAAATATCATGAAAACTGCTTCAATGTCATTTTCTCATTGAGATCTCAATATAAATTCACATGGTTTGTAAAATATCATTCAAGGATAATATTAATATTTTATGATTAATAAATGTGATTTTAAATTTATCATGTATCATATTTATAGGAAATTGTTAAAATATATCACATTTTTTACTAAATACACCAAACACCGCACACCACACCACATGAGGGTTTAATGAGGGTCAGGCGGCAACCTTCTTACCCTATACCACATTGGCGACTGGCATGGAAATCATGTTATTGCATGTAAATGGCAATCATTGGCGAGCTGCATAACTTGCTGCACATAATCCATTGCCACATGTGGATGACCTTTGGCAGCATCATTTTAGTGTTGCAGAGTCATACTCTTGTTCTTGTAACATACTATTGTTATGGGCTTTGGGTTATGTTGCGGTGCATGTTCGTACACGCGTTCTCCATTTGACTTTTAGATGTTGGTTTGTTGTGTGGTGATGTATTTAGTATAAAGTGTAGTGTGTTTAACAATTCCTTATTTTTAACATTATATTGTTATATAGTAATTGTCAAAAAGATGATGAAAAATACATAATTTTATGGGTTCTGATATTAAAAATCTTTGTTATGTAATCAAATACTATTATGATAAAAATTGCAATTTTTTAATTTTTAGAATTATAGATAAGTATAAAATTATTATATTAAAATATATATTTTAGCTTATATTTATTTTATTACAAAATTGATAACAAAATTTAATCAATAAATATTTATACATATTTCAATATGTTTTACTCATATATAGATAGAAAAGATATCAAAAAAACCACTCATTTATATAATTATAAACTCATTTTGATTTTCATCATTATAGAATAATAATTATTTAAATTTTTTTAGTAATATTAATATTTATTTAGAGCCTTTGTCCCGTTTTTGTATCGGAAATAAAATAAAATGACACACTAGTAATAAATTACAATCACTATATTAGTTCCATTTGAATAGGCTTAGGTAAGACTTTTTTTTGCCTTAGAATGAATAGAAATCAATTTAAACACAACAAACCTGAAAAATGGAGGTATTTACTTGATGGAACCCCATGTAAAATCTAAATTGCTTATTGGAATCCTTTTCGTTTCGTTTATCCGATAGGGTCCCATCGACGGTACACATCATGCGTGTTCCAGTATCAACAAACCGTTTAGGCAGTGAAACTCTATCAATCAAAATTTTCAAACTCAGTCGAGATTGTGTAAAATTCTCGAGGATGGGAAAACCAGATGTTTTCAGATGCCACCGTCAATGCACAGAGAGAAATCCATTCATGCTTGAGAAGTATGTTCTCCACAATCACAGGCTAGTTTTCAGTCGCACATGAAATTGGGTGTTGATGATCATAAATTGATCGCCAATCTATAAAATGTAAGTTAGGACTATTCACAGAGAGAGCCACACTCTAGCAGACTGACTAATATGGGACCATGGAAATGAGAAGATCGAAGGAATGAGTCTTGGTCTCCTTCGAGTACTTCTTCTTGCTTGTTCATCTAGTCCATTCCTGCCAAGATTTGCGAAGTAGTAACGATTTGCGATGGCAGAGCTTCACTAAAACTTTCATCATATGTTTACAGTAGCACGTATTAGAACTTGGCGATGATAGATCGTAGTTGGGGTCCCATCTGATACAACAAAACTTGATGGGTACCATCAAGCAGTTTAGGTTCAGATGGGGTGTCATCAAGCAAATTTCTCTTGAAAAATGTTTTAATCTATCACTTTTTTTATCAAAACTAAATCTTCATTATTGTGTTTGCTCTATCAACAAAAATGTGAAAGTCTTTACCAAAGCATTAATAAATCAAAAGAACCTCCTTGGTCAAAGAACAAAATATTCTCAATGTGAGATGTAGTTTAAGTGTTTTGAGTATATTTGTTTTGCTTTAGAAAAGTTCACAAGTACACTATTAGCATAAGAGAATCATGACAAAAGATACTAACCCATTTTTTCATTTGAAAGATTCAAGTTTTTTATAGCTTTCTATTGTTGCCACTATCACATTCTCACATGCTCAACTTCAAGAAGTAATTTGAACTATACCTATAGCCCTAGGCAGTAGAGTGGCAATTGCTCTCATTTTTGCTAATGCATACACATGACTATTTAAGTAGCAATGATATATACATAAGTGATGACATGTCATATAAACATATGAAAAAAAGAAAAGTATGAGCACTGGAAATGTTGAGGCTACATTTACGATTGTTGAAGGGGAGTGGACACTTAGTGACTATCAAAATGCTCCAAAACCTTGGATAAATCACAAGCAGAAATGATAAAAAAGGTTGCAGTCACGATCACAAAATCAAGGATCAAATAAGATTGCAAATACATTCCTTCTAGTTATCCCGACATTTCAGAAAGTAATATATTAATCACTTGAAAACCTATAAGTCCAGTTGGACAGTTTCTGCTCATGATACGTGAGTGTTAGGCTTTCTATTCCTAGGATTAGCTTTCTAGTAGTTCGCGGTAACAAGTAAACCCCAAACTCGGAGCAAAGGAAAGAACAAAAAAGTTGCAAATATTATTAAGCAGTACAATATTGAAACCATACATAAACCTGATGTTAGATCAGTACTGTCTCTGGTTTTCTGGAGTATTTTCTCTTGATTCTTGACTGATAGACCTTAGGAGCTCTTGTCATAGAGTTTTGAACTTCATTGATGATGATTGTCTCATTATGATGAGGTTTCTTGGTAAAAGTTTTGAAAATTGATATTAAGAGAGAAAAGCTAGAAACAAACTTTCCCACAAAATGTTGAAATGATATAGGGAGAGATCATGGCGGGGTTTCACTCTACCCCCCGCAAATAAAGAATAATCAAGACAATACTTTCACTTTAGATACTGCGTCTGTGCATAATTGGGATTGACCTTCAAAATTAAAAGCATCAAGTGGTGGTGAATTGTAAGAAAAAACTTCCAAGCATTCAGTATAGCATCAAGGATAGGTGTAAGAAAATATCTAAATCATGAAAGTGAGCAACAAGAGGATATCAAGAGTCCTTGTATATAAAATTGTAATAAACATTAGGATAGTTTCGAGGAAGAGACATGGAATATTGACAGGAAATGCAGATCAACAAAAGGTCAGATGACAAAGTAAAAGCAATGCTTATTAAAGCGATAGCTTTATGGTTACAAAGAGAGGGTTAATATGAGGATGCGAAAGATGTTAAATCATGTGAAAAAGAAGAAGAAATATAAGTGAAAACTATGATTATGCAGAAGTAAAAATTGAGGATATTTGGTATCAATTTTTTACTATATATTGCATCGGAAGATTTAAAATTAGAGTCGAATATATAGACATCTCTAATTTTACGAATATAGATGTTTCATGAAAATATATCATAAGCAACAATTCAATTCAAACTCCTGATTTAATACACACAAAACAACTTAATTTGAGATGAACGGAAATTCATCGAAGATCATCCGATAATAGACAGTACATATCTTTGAGCTACCGAGTTAAATTTGGACCAAGATATCAATTTGACGCAATCTAATAAATGCAACGGCAATCAATATTCAGAACCTTTACAGAATCTCACCTCGGAAGGTATTTGATCGGAAGGTGTCGAGGTTCGAGAGAGGTTCATCCGAACATTGGTCGAAACTCTCAAGTACGGTGAATCTCCCTTTGCATCGGAACGTCGCATCGGAACCCGGCCTGAGGCCCCGCCAATTCGCACCTGCGGCGACCGGCGGTAACAGAGATTCTGGTGGCCGGGCCCTCCAGGCCGAACATCGGAGGGAACTTTTCGGGGAGGGCTAATTTTAGGCCCAGATGATGAAGTACAGTAAACTGTAACGGGCTAATCTAAACTACAAGCACGGAGAAGGAAGAATGTGAAGCCCAGGTTCGGCGCGGTAGCAGAGTAATCTAGGTTTATGCGGAATGATGCGGCGGTTCAGAGCAACGAGGTTAGGGAGGGAGCTAGTGCTTGTGTGGCGTCCACGTCCAAGGCGAGAAATAGTAGAATGCAATGGAGAGGCAGAGGAGATGGTAGCGGTTGGACGGTGAGAAGTAAGTTTTGTACCAGTGGACAGAGAGCGGTAGAGACAGGATCTGTGGCCCAACCATTTTTACTTGGCGTCTGGATGCAGGTTCGGGTGGGGATGCAGCTCCTTCTGAAACCGACTGAATATGACACAGATGAGATCCGAGGAATTGTTCAGGTGGTTGTAGTGACGTGATGTGAATGCGATTGTACGATTGTTGACAGAGCGCAGCGAGGTTCCAGCACTTGTGACAATTCTTGCTAAGCCCTGGGCCCAGGGAGTCGTCGGGCAGACAGGGCAGAGTAGTGAAGAATTGGCTATTTGTGCTTGCTTCCTGTGTGAGAGCCAGTGTGAGAGTGTGCCTTCGCGCCTCGAGTGAGGCCTTCATTCTGCGCGTTGTAGCTTGGAGTGAATCTTACAAGTGGAACTTGAAAAAAGGCATTTGTGTAGCGATAGCTGTAGGTGCGAGAGGAAGGCAGAGATGGCTGTCGGAGTCCTTGCCTTGCAGGGCTCTTTCAAGGAGCACATTGTTGGTGAGTTGGATTCGAATGTGTCGTATATAAATTTTGATGAACATATGAACACATTTGATTGTACAGAATTTTTCCAGCGGTGGAAATGCGAGACTTAACATTCGTGTTTCTTTGGGGCCTTCCTGCTACACACGTTTATCTAACTACAGTAGAATTTTCGAACGCTTCATAAATTCAGACATGTTTTGGTCGGTTTTTCTTTTCAGCCTTGAGAAAGCTCGGAGTGGATGCCGTGGAAGTTAGGAAGCCGGAGCAGTTGAGTGGTCTGTCAGGCTTAATTATTCCCGGTGGAGAGAGCACTACTATGGCCAAGCTCGCCGAGCAGTATAAGCTTGTGAGTCTCGAAACACTTCAGCTCTGAGTATGTTAGCATCGTTCTCATGAAACATATTTTGGGTAAAGAGTCCTGGACCTAATAACAATGAAGTCTTGAATGGGACCAAGTGTAAGGCCGTACGCCGAGGGTAGGATTTTGTTTCAAAGAGTTTTTTAATTTAGAATCTCAATCCATATGTTTTCCATGAATTTCAGATTTTTTAAGACTATAATGTTTTTAAATTCGGCTGTTCTTCAACTGACAGAGGCACGTACGTAATCACAATTTGAGTTCCGAAGTTCTTTCCACATTCAATCTGACCGCAGATTTTACGTACTCTTCGCAGATTCCAGCTTTGAAAGACTTTGGGATCAGCGGAAAGCCAATCTGGGGCACATGTGCGGGTCTTATTTTCTTGGCAGACAAAGCTGTTGGTCAGTACTCGGTTTCCTGAAGTCAGATGAAATTCATGGCCGTTTGAAGTGCTCGATGAATTTAAGTTAACTCCCGGTGATGGCCTTTTTACTTTTCCTTAGTTTTAAAACTTAGATTCGGGACTAAGAATGGTCTCTATTCGTTGAGAAGATGGTCTGTAGGAACTCGAGATAGCTTTAGTCGCATCATCGTTAATCTGCTCCATAATCTTGCAGGTCAAAAGATCGGAGGTCAGGCACTTCTTGGAGGGTTGGACTGTACGGTTCATCGGAATTATTTTGGAAGTCAGGTAATTGCAATTAGAAAGAGATTTTATCGCTCTTTTTGTGACTCGTTGAACGAATCCATCCTTGTAATCTGCTAGGTAAATCATCTCGTACTTGTGCTTACGCCCACAGTTTTCAACTTTTAATCAAGAACGCTGATACATGTCTCGTTTCACCTCAGTTGAACAGTTTTGAGACAGAATTGCCTGCTCCTCCAGCTCTTGCGGAGATTGGAGGCTCCGAAAACTTTCGTGCAGTATTTATTCGAGCGCCAGCCATTGTCGATGCTGGCCCAAATGTAGAAGTTCTGGCTGCGCTTGACGTACCATCAGGAGAATCTGGAGCATCATCACCGGGAAATGAGGTACGGATGATATCACTCAAGTACAGAGAGTTCAAGTCTTCTATCAACTTCCTACAAGTTGTATTAAGAATTGTCAAAAGCGTAGTACTGCTTTTCAAAAGTTTGACCCCCGTAAAATGGCTGCTTCGTGCAGGCAGAAGAGAAAGGACAGAAAGTAATTGTAGCAGTGCGACAGGGCAATCTCCTTGCCACAGCCTTCCATCCCGAACTCACTGGCGACACTCGCTGGTAAATTTCAATCAGATGTTTATATCATTGGATCGATTCACTTGCCATATTACAGTTGTTCTTTGCATGTCTGTGTTTAGTATTTTGACTCTCTGTCATGTGTGGACTCGCAGGCATAGCTTATTTTTGAAAATGGTTCCAAAGGGTGGGAAAGCGGATGTTCCAGTGAAAGCAGTGGAAGAATCAGCTAGCTTGATCCGGCCGTTCACAGACCCCAAGGATCTTCCCGTTTTTAGGGACGCATCTTTTTTGGTTTTTGAGTGAGGAGGTCACTTTTAAGTAACTTTCCGTAAGGACGTTACAATGGGTGTTGTACTTCTAATTAGACATCATTCTTTCTGTATCTATCAATCTTGCCTTAATAAAAGAAGGCGGGGCATTCTTTTCACACAACAAACTCTTTCTGATCACTTGTTTTCAATTGTTTCTAATCTTATCTGCAAACCTCATCAAGCAAGGATTATGGTGATGACAGCGTGTGTGTGTGCAATCATTGTCGGGCAGTCCTGTCAGTTTTCGCAGTCATGAGTCCTAGCGAAGAATTTCTCTTTCCGATATCCTGGATCGTTTCTATGCACGCAGATGTATCACAGTATGGTGAATATGTTGGGTGTGCAGTAAAGTTGGATATGTTCAACTTTATCTTCTTTACACTGGATTCGATTACCACATGTCATTAAGCTTTCAGGCCACAATGTTTATATTACGACTTAAAAATCCGTGAGAGCAAGAAGAATCCACCTCTTCCTAAGATTTGACTGAGTACACAACTTCGGTAAATATGACTATTAAGAAGCAACAGCAAACATACAATCAATATATGAAGAGGAAAGTGTCTATACTATCTCTCAAAAAATGAAATCTTTTTTCTTGAGTTTCGTGCTGCAAAATCACCAAGCCACTCACACATCTTCAATGCCTGTGCTGACCTGCGCCCAGTACTCAGCTGCTCTATTGAAAATGTGACCAGGCTGTTTTTCATTACTTGTTTGAGACACTGTCGTTTGGTTGAAGACAGCAGGTAAACGAAACTGTTATAAGGCCTGATATGAGGCGGGATGTTCTGTACACCAGACTGATTGACCAGATTCCCTGAATTTGTCAATGTGGTCCATTTGCCCTTAGTCTAGCATCAGTTGGTCATAGGTCTTATTCGAATGACCAAATGCCCTGACTCTGTCAATATCTGTCTAAATGCCTGTTTGGTCAAGGGTTTCAGTTATATGCACATCGATGAATGTCAATAGTAAGAAGTAAGATTGGAACAGCAAAAAGGAAGGGACAACCTCATGAAAGCACCGCATATATATGATAGATAGGGCTAGGTTCCAACAGCATCGAAAAGAGATATTTTCCAGCTAAATCTAGCTGACCTAATTAACCTAGGAAAAAGAAATAACAAGCTTCAAAAAAATCCAAAAGAATGTAACCTACTATAATTCATCTCAATGGATTGCTTACGTAATCTAGTCTACGTGTTTAACATCGCACATAAGTGCCATACAAACTACTATGTTAAAAGGTAATTAGATTGATAATTTATGTTTTCTCAACTGGAATTATCTTGCATACTCTACCATAAAAATGTTGAACCATGCAATTCCAAAAGACGATATGGATACATATCCTTGTAATTAGAGGTTGGAGTTTCATTTCAGGATGATGATTAATCGTCCACTCCCAAACACTATCAGATATAGGATATATGACCATGATATTTGATTTTTTTCAGTAAAACAGCGAATTCTGTATGCAGTACATACTTTTCATATCTCATAACATGATACACATTATATAGACCCTAGAGGCATAAAAAGATGCAAGACCTCATTCATCCACATGTCACTAGAAGTGAGTAGGAATGCACTTATGAGAACATGTTAATATATACTTTGCAATTGCCATACTATGTACAAGGCAACGGAGTGAACTTAGTGTTTGTGCATGCATGGTTGTGTGTATTAGGGACGGGGCTCTTAAGATCAGAGAGAAGCAAAGAGTGGTGAAAGCGTAAACCAGCGCGATGCATGCACTTTTGGACCGAAGAACCTTTACGCCCACTTTTGAGGCTTGTGCCAGATTTTGCTGAAGTCAGAGGTGCACAGTACACCAACAGACTGCAGGTTTGTGAAGAGTCCAGCAATGTGCACACGCCTTGACCTTCCAATAGCGGAACCGTTAGGAGACACCAGCTCCAAACAGGAACTACAGCCTCCAGGCATTGGTTCTGAGACGCAAGATGGGACCCACTGAGATGCACTGTCGTGGCCAGCTCTTCGGGTATCGAGGTACGAACTGTACGTGAACGTGGAATACCTGAGGGCCAACCATATTTGTCTGATCCACCAATTTTTATTAAAGTTTATTCCATCCTAACAAACTCGTTCCCGACCGGTCATTGCAGACCGTTCAGTTCCTCACAGTTTATGTCCGTGTGTTTGAAGAACAAACAGACCCGACGCCAAGTTATCTTTTATTCGTTAACTATTCGATTCAGCAATACTTATAAGGAAGAGAAGTAACTAGAGGTTTTCATAAATTTAAAAAAAAACCCACTGGTTACTGGGAAACAAATAATTTTGATATAGGAATTTCTTTTGAAGAGTCATATAGCCAAACATGTATTTTGCATTCAATTTTATGCTCATGATACGATCTGTTGAATCAATCACAACTTGAGTTTTAGACATCTTCCATCTAGAATGTAGGCATCAAACCATACACTTGCAAATTCGGTACAACCATCAATAAATCTAATCTTCATGAGTAATGCAAAAATTATACTGAATAGAAAATTAATTTTATATTATATCTATAACCTTCAAATATAAAGATAATAAAAATATATTTATTCTTTTAATTTAATATTTTTTAAGCAATTTTATGGATAGAAATGGTTGATTTGGATTCCAGTTACTTTGAAGAATTAATATAAACCATTATGTCACTGACATAATCTTAAAAAAATGTATAAAACTAACATACATCATGCTTGTGAAATAATAAAATTCAGATTATCCCATGCATATTGGGATATACTTATGTACAAAAGCCAACACCTAGGTACATCCAGTTTCCATGCCTCGATATCAGGTTTGTCACCTCCTTAGAAAGCCACATGAGATTACAATTTGGAAATCTTTTCCAGTTTTATCTATCCGCTGTCAATTTTCTGTCTTCATTTAATGCATCCCCGCACCCATAACTTGATATATCGTGTGTTAAATAGTTTAATCTATCTAAATGCTCATGAATCATTGACCTCTTAGTCTACCTTTTGAATCTTCTCTAATCAACATCTTACTCATATGCTGCCTCCAATGGTACACCAAAAGTATCTACAGTTAGTTCAGTTGAAGCTCTTGCACCTCCTACACAGTCTACTTCCAACAGAGCTCTAATTGCTGTCGACACTCATACCTTATTATATGATACATCTCAATCTTGCACTCCAATATATTTTTACATCATTTATCTTTCTAGGTTTTCCAACCACGTGGCTTCAAAATTGTCTCGACAGGCTAACACACATTCTGTTAATCGGCCAGTTAATGCCTTTAATCTTCTCGAAAATACTGATCTTAGCTCCTATATATGTTATAGTTCTATATATGTTATATTTTGCAGCGGGCGGAACGTCCTTCATTCTTTGATGGCGAAGACTTAAACAACATAAGTCATGGACAAGATCACAAATAATACAATGATTTCGAGGTTCGGATTAATTGAGACGCTAGGATACTGAAGAAGAAATTGAGGGAGTGAAGAGCAGATTTTTCTGCCTCTGCCCTCTCCCTTGCAACCTACTTCTTATCCGTCAGTCCTAATGGATTCTAGTCCCAGTGAGATAAACTGTTCCACAATGGCAATCGTTTAATTTTGGAGTGGGAGTGCTTTGCTAACCATAGGTTTTAAGCAGCCACCTCTAGTTTCCACGTCCCCGTCCACTCGCCAAACCTCTCCATCATCCGTTGCAAGTTCTCTTCATTTGGTTCGACGAGGGCCACATCGGCGACCAGTAGAGGACTTGCAAAATTTTGTTTGAGTCTGAGAATTGCCTCTTGGCATCATTAAATTATACACCGAAGAGGAGAGGGGAAAGAGGATCTACTTGTCAGGCTCCCTTACAGATCTTCAGCGCTTCTGTCTGTCTGGAGCAGGTCGTGTCTCCCTGCCACCCTCGTCAAATTGTAGAGGGACTCGATGACACTGAGGCAATTGCCTTGGATCCCCACCGCTTGCAACTTCAACAAAACGCATCGGAACATTGAGTCGTGGTTTTATAAAAATCACCGAAGGTCATCCACGTTGGTTGTTCGACGTCCTCTCGTTGCATGAGGAGTTGGTGGAGTGAGAGTAGTTGCGCTGCAAACTCTGTCACTACCGAAGCCCATAAAAAGTTACCATTCTCCAACCAAGGCTTTGACCAGCCTACGGTTCAAATGTATGGTGGTTGTTAGTTCTAGGTTCTTGATGCCAGTCATCAGATTTACGGCCACCGAGAATAAGAGATTCAATCCATGGGGCTTAGCAGATCTTTCAGCCCAAAGTGCTTCATAGCCATGACATGTTTGACTCATAGGGCACCCCTGAGTAAACCATCAGTGAGGGATCCACAATAAATTCAATTTCTATTTTTTAATCCCCTGTAAAATGGTCCCCTGTCATTGGTTTGTGAGCAGGCTACGTCTCCCACTCAAGAGCAAGATTCTACAAGAGTATCAGATATCATTTTGATGGATATCTGTCCGGGGTCCTGGAGCTTTTCATGAGTTTAGGTACCTGGTACAGGTTTCCGAAGCCTATGACTCCATTGGTTCGTTCTAGCTCCTCAGGGCCCTAACCAGCATTGTTCGTTCCTCTAGAATGTCATGTGGTCGAGGCAGGGACTAATATTTGTAGTGCTTCGATATATCTTTCCTAACTATAAATGATTTAAGTGCACTCATTCATCCGTCAAGACTCGTGTATATCCCAACATGTCATATGTCACGAACTCTAGTGTGTTCGAAAGTACAACCTCATTCATTAGTATTATCGCCTTGGAGATGAACTTGAATAATCAAGATAAATGTTACTACTAAGGGGTTTCTTGGGATGAGTCAACTCTGTCAAAAATGGTGTGGGAGACTCGAACTGGGCAATGGTTAAACTTCTGTATGATCGTTGTCAAGCAAGCAGACATCATCTCCCTCAGGGGCCCCAAGGGAAGACATTGCAACTGTCGGTGGAGAAGCTTACGTTCATGGAATATCCCTTAGTACTGTATCCGACTGTGTAGATAGTATCTCTTGTATGATGCTGCTGCATATGGCTTGCATAGTACCTATGGTGATCAAATCTTAGATACCCCACTACACACGATTATGGGTGATTTATAATCATTAA